CAGTCTTGTTGGAGCGCGAAACCTTCTCTCCGCGGCAAAAACTCCCTCCGCATGCGCAGCAAATCGTCCCTCGCGGCGGCATATTACTCGCGTCGCTCATAGAAAAAAATAACGCCGACGCCCAACAAGACTGCGAAGGAGGCTAGATGGCTGTCCTTCTGTAGAATGTCCTTGGGAGAAGTAAGGCCACAGAAAGTAATGTTTTATGGATGACATCGGCCTCCGCATTCCTGTATATTCCTTTTATATGTTATGGTGGCTGTTTCCATTCAATCAAAACCATCTGTGCAATAATCGAAAACTTTTATTTTTCATAATTGTTCCAGTGAGTAATGGATATTGTAATAGTTTGCAGTAAACTTATTTAACAGGCTTTATGCTGTCAAAAGTTGAAAATGTAGGAATCTTGTTTTCTTGGCCCGCCTTGTTTTTTCGCCCTATCGCATTAGATTTGGAGTCTGCGGAGGATGTCATCCATAAAATTTACTTGCTGTGGCCTCAGGACTTTATACAAACGTCTTTGGATATGTTCAGTTCAGTTCAGTTTCAGTTCAGTTTATTACAATACCCTTTAGCCCCAGGGCTCATTCCACATTACACACGCAGTACAAATATACACATATGACTAGAAATTTACATACACGTTGAGGTCACACGTCAGACAAGGTACTAATTATAGCTAAAATCATTGAACGAGCAAATTATCGGCAAGGTGTAAAACTAATATTACCATTACTAAAAGATTTCAATATAACAACTATCATCATAATCAAAACCATTATATGTGGTAACAGTTGTGTCTTGTTGCTAGGAAACAAAATCACAACAACAACAACAACAACAAAATGGGTGTGCCCGAAACAGAATCAGATACTGATGATTCTGACTACCACACCTATTTGGACCTTGGGGGATTCAAGTACCTTGACAATGACGACCATGTGTACAAAACGCCCTATTCGGGGCCTGACGACGAAGACTACGAACAACCAGAGAGCATCAGCCGTCATTACAAAACTCGAGGTACGTCCAGATACAGCTTCTAATGCAAAGGAACAACAACATGTTTCTGAGCAAAGAGGCTCTTTTTTTGGCGTAGCGTTCATTTATTTATTGTTTGATTCAGGCAGAGCCCATAGACAACATAGACAACACAATATACATAGATCTAAAAATACAATGTCTAGGATAAAAGAAACTGAGCGAAGGCCTAAGTAGGTTCGTGTAAGCTATCACGAAATCGCCGGCGAATGCGCTTGGACACACGCTCGGACGCTTTTGTATCGAGATTTGTACACGCTGGCGCCGTGTACCCAAGCGCGTTTGCCGGCAATTTCGTGATAGCTGACACGAACGCCTATCGAACCCCGGCGCAGCGTCACTCGGTTTGCAAGTCTGGCGTGTCCCGCAAATTCGTAATGCGTTGCCGGTCGTGATGCGTCGCACATTGTGTCTGCCGCACGCTCGGGCGCTGTTGTGTCGGGTTGTGTCCACGCTGGCGCCGTGTACAGCTTCGGTCACAATTGCGCCGGTGCCCGTCGGGGATGTAGCCCCGACCGGTCCCGGTCGGGCTCAGGAAGTCGTGCGGGCATCGGCTGTCGTGGTCACAATTAAAAATTTCCTTCAGTAGCATTTTGTTAAAAAAAAATTGTCACCCTCTTTGGTCTGTCTCCGGCAGGCACCCGGCAGGTACCCGGTAGATTCTCTGTCGATGTCTTGTACTGACCTATACGTAATGCAGAATTCACGCTTTTCTGGTGATCATTTGATCTGTGACGTCACACATTTTACCCGGGTTTACGAAGTACACACCTTTATTCTGTTTACCTGGTCTGTGACGAAACGAATGTGTCCTGGTGGACTGCCGGCTACCGGAGGGGTACCTCTCGGTGTTCTCACGATGAGTTCACGGCGTCTTTTTGTCAGCGGGGCCCGGGTAGAATTTAAGTCAGAATCAAATTCTTCTCGGGTCCCCGCCGGGCCCAAAAATAGCCCGGTACCCGCAAGGTGCCCGGCGGGGCCACGTAAGGGACCGAAGCATACCCAAGCATACCCAAGCGCATTCGCCGGCGATTTCGTGATGGCTTACACGAACACTACTCCTTTTTTTTTACACGACCAAGTCTTAGGTGACGTCTGTCACCTCTCTCCTCAGGGCAATTCTGACTGGTTCACATTGTACTGTATAACTGACCACAATCATGTATTTATCCAACTCCTGTAAGTTTGGGACGGCACTGTATGCACAGTTCCCGGTAACCACGCATATGCA